GGAAGCCCCTAAAATATGTGGTTTCTTCAACTGTCAGTTTATTATTTTTGCCCTTTTTTTTTTTCAATCTGAAACTTGACACAGGCTGTGGTTTTTTGCACGCATCCTTTTGCTTGTTAGCTGGAGTTTATATTTGTATGCTGTTTCCCATTCTTGCTCTATTTTATTTCAGTGTAAGGGAAATTACAGAGGGTTTATGTCACATGCTCCAGTGTACCAGTGTACTGGACTGCTTATATGAATTCCTGTGCTGGTGAAAGGAAAGATACAAATTTCTTTTATTTTCTTTTTTTTTTTTTCTTTTAATTGCTCCTAGCTACAGATAAATATGAAGTCCTTCTGTTAACAAGATAAATACTGTTGTGTACTGCCTGTCCCAACACTAATGCTAAGGGATTTGTGCATTTGTGATGTTCACAGACTAGGAAAACCAAGGGAAGGCATAAGAGGTTTTCTCAATGTCTTCTCCTCCATCTACAGGCCAGGCAGCTGCCAGCTGCTGATGGAAATGCTTGCTCAGAACTCCAGGACGTGTGACTGGCTGTGAGGGGGTTCACTAATGGGAGGACGGTAGACTGCATGTGGAGAAAGAGCTCCTCTCCATAGGGTAGTTCCCTCCAGAAGCAGACAAGCAACTGAGCAAACAGCTTGTGGTACATCATCATGATTGCCACTTAAATATGAGAAAAACAGATTTTCTGAAAAAGTTGCCCTTAAGCAATTTCTACCTTCAAGTATGGCCAGGTAGTGTTCATCATGACCAGGAGATTATAGACTTTTCAACTGAAACAATGGATTGTTTCCTCTCTTATGTCTAGATTGGAGACAGATCAACACGCAAGATGGACTTTGAATGAGTGTTAAGATACAAAGATTTCAAGTTTGTTCCTGTTTTACTCTTCCCATGTGTTCTAAGTATTCCTGAAGAGTTTTCCAACAAGATCTGCAAGACCATAACTTCGGAGGAAGCCTTGTTTCTATAGAGCTGTCCCTGGCATTTCCTGAGCTGTAGGCAAACCAAGCAATAATGTGCCAAAACTACTCTGCCTTTGAACCTACAGCTGATTATCTTGTAACTGAGGCCAAAATAAGGGAAAGGGTACTAGAGAGGCTTAAGCTTTGGTTCAAGTTCTTCTGCTACAGTCTTAATTTGCAATAATTAAATGTGATTTCTATTTCTGGTTTTGTTTTTGCATTTGTAGAAACAAAAAAAATTCTTACTGTCTTGACACCAGGTAAAATCTATCATGGCTCATGACATATCCAAATGCCCTGTGCTGATGGGCATAATGTGGCCTGCATTGGTGCACTGTCATCTACATCACCATCCCTGGGAAAAATAGTGACATTAATTGCTGACATTTTGCTAATATTATTTGGGTTCTAAAATTATCTGTAGACTTTGCACAGCACCGTATTTACTTAGAAGTGATACTTCCTCTCAATGCAGAGAAATCAAAAGCACATGTTCTCCTTTTCAACTCACTTTCCTCTTTATAATGTGTCACAGCACAAACAATGTGTGTGAAAAAGAGAACTAAGTCTGGCCATGCATTTTTACTGTTTTGTGCTTCTTATGTAGCTATTGCTTAGCACTTTCCATAGCTAAGGCATGTATTTTCTTTTGGATTTTGAGAACACTACCATGACAATCCCTAAGAGAGATACATCTGCTATGAAACATCTGTCCTACCTTCAGAAGATGCCTGAGAGTTAAAGAGAATCCATAGAACAGGAAGGGAAGTCATGTAGTAAAGCAAAGTAGTGAACTGCTTTTGTCTATATATTGTTCAGCCTGAATCATTATAATCAGAAAATAGGAAAATTTGTTAAATAGACTTTTCAGTCTATGAGAAATTGTTCAACCAGCAATACCTCAAAGCTATTCATCCTGGACAGAAAGAATCCTGAACAAAATTTCTGCTATGGAAACCAATTTTTGGCCAAAGAGGCCAAAGATGGTAGCTGAATGGAAAACCAGAGCTCAGATATAGACATGAAAGGAATTTTCAAGGATGTACAGCTCCCTGTTCATAATACAGTATTGAAATCCATAGGGATTTTGCAGCAATATCCATGAGCATTAGAGAACATGGCCCTCAGTGAATAAGCACCAGCCTGTTCCTTAACTGTGCAAAGCAGAACTGCAAGAACATACTTTGGGTGAGTCTCAGGAGCCTTTGGTTACCAGTGTTGTGCCTTCCATCACACATACACACTCACAAAGGGTTTCCTCAGCAACTCCACTGAGGCTTATAGCTCTTAATGCAAACCTTTCTATGTCTATTATGAAACTGACTTCCTGTAGGAAAGTAAAGCTGTGATATTTTGGAAGTTGTTTTGAACATAAAAGCTCAGTCTTTTAGATTGCAAGGGTGTTTTTTTTCTCTCTAGAGCTTTTTTTAAAAGCTGTCCAATTGAACCTTTTCCTTGCTTGCTCACTTCAGAAACTAGATGTGTTTCAAAGTCCTCCAGCATGCTTCCACACCTGCATTTCTAGTATCACCTACCATATTTCTTCCCAAGTGAGACACACCAAGATAACACTCTGCAATGCTGCTGATCACACCTGCAGCTTCCTCAGAAGGTCATTTTCTTAAGTGAAGTTAGGAATTCAAAAGGTTCAGAATTTCCAGTCTAGTAGATGCAAAGATAGATTATGGTCTCAAATATTTGTGGTCATTCAGAATCTCACCAAACTTTGGACATTCTCACAGAGCTGATGGAGCAAGACTCAAAAGAAGAGAAAGACTGAGCATACAGAATGATTAACATGAGAAGTAAGGGAATTTTTTAACTAATAAAAGATAGAATACAAATTAATGAGAAACCTATGTAACTTGTAGCCAATTAAATCCATGCCTTTGTTTGCCAAAACATATTAATAATGAAAAGTTCTAATAGCTCTGATGCTGGTTTTGTGGATTTGCCACCCAGTCTCCCTTTCTGTGAAGAACTGTAAATAAACCAGATATCTTGACTCTGTGTGGAGATTGGCCTCGTACCAGATGAAAAAAACATTTTGGGACAGCAAAAGCATGGATGAAAATACAGGAGGAAATCTTCAGAACACAAATTAAGATAGTTCATGTCAGGGCAAAATACTGACCTCTATCATTACACACATTCAAATTAAGGCCAGGAATTCATATTTTAGATGTAGAAAACTGTAGAAAGTGGCCTGGTATCATTTATGCTGGTGCTTCTAATACCACTGAGCATGTTCTGTCTCCTCCTTTGGCCGTAGGGTAGTGTCCCAGTTAACCAAAGCAAAGAAGCTGATGATCACCTGAAAAGCTTAGGCAGTTCTCAGCTGTCTCACAGCCTCTTCTTTGCCAGTCTGCTTTTCCCTTGAAGACCACCTTTATAGTCTACTCCACTAGATGAGCTATGATTTGCTCCAGCAATTCCTTTCTTCTCTTTCCAAGCAGCTATGTGTGTTGCACAAAAAGTGGACAGCCAGTCTTTTCTGTAGTCATGAACTGGAATCACAGTAATAAGCTGAACTCTTGTTCCCCAATCTTTTGTTCTTGATTTGTATAGGGATTGCCTCATGGATTTCAGACTCAGAAGCTGCTAAGAGACCTGCCTGCAGGGCTGCTGGAGGCGTTTATCACTTGAGGGGTTGTGCTGCACATTAGAACAGAGTTAACAAATAACTATATGAACTTTTGTACAGATTTCTTATTGTTTTATTGTCTCCTATCAAAAGTGATTGTTTTATTGTCTCCTATCAAAGCAGAACACTGAAATACAGAATCGTATTTGTGCAGCCCTTCATTATTTTCTGCTCTGAGTGCTGTTATTGAGATGTTGCTTTTCTTCAAAAGTGCACAGACGCAGCCTGTGTGTGAGAGAGCCTGAAGAGGCTGATGTCCTGCAGCACAGATCAGGCCCCATGTCTGTAAGTACTGCGAAGAGATCAGCTGCTCCCAGGAAGGAAACAGCCTTGTCTCTTCTCAATGAGCATATTCCCATGGAACCTGGTAGAAGTGGATCTTCTCTGCAAAGAGAAAATTATAAATTCTTATACAGTTCAGCAGCTGCTTTGTTCACAGGAGCTGCTGTCTTTTGCAGGAGCCATTTCTTACTGGCAGCTGATAAAAACCTTGCAGTCCGAAGAAGGGAGTCTGGATGTCATTGTGTTCATCAAATCCTATTGCCTTTCCCCTTAAGACTCTGGTGGAACTTTTCTTAAAAGCTATAGCCAGTGGAATAATACTACAAAAAGTATCTGTTCACACTCTAGTACAGTCTCTTTATTAATTTCTAATTTGTGTAGGTCCATGCGTGATAAAAACCAGAAAACTAAGCAAATAAGCTTGCAGATCACCATAAATGCAGCTATAGGCATCATGAGAAGAAGCTCATAAATGAACTTGGTTTTCTAAAGGTTGTTTGTCTCAACACCAGGTAGGCACGGCAAGGTAAGTGATGATTAGATGAACAAGCATTCTGTCGGATGCTGCTACAAGCAAACTGTGAACACCATGTGCAAGCCAGACAAGCTCCTGTTTCATAGAACATCCTACTTGTCATTTTGGGCCAATGGCAAGAGAGATGGCCAATCTCTTTGCATGAGTGTTGGCAAGAGTCTGAACATGTGAAAGACATACTTTCACTTCTGATGCACCAAGTGGAGCTGCAAGGTAAGTGCCTGCATGCTGCTGGCTTTATTCTTACTGATGGACTGTTTAACAGCATGGCTTTGGGACAGATTTGAACTGGAATGAAAAAGGACAGGAAACATTTGGGGAGCAATGAAAATTGTTACTGCCAGCTCTCATCCAGTTCTGGTTTCCAACCAAATAAATGGATCTTTTCCTAATTAGTGACAAAATCGAGTTCTTCCTAGCAGGGACAAATGACCAGTGAAGGTAATGCTGCTTGTTATACTGGGGCTGCTAGAAGGGAGGTTCTTCTTAATTTTCCTCTTTGGAATTTCCCCTCTGAGTGCTCTGATCTTTCTTATTTCCTCCTTTCTACTGTGACTTTCACTTAGCTCTGGGCTGGGCTGGCAGTTCTCATCATTTTTTGGTACTGAATCCAGAGTGAAAAAGCAGGAGCTGTCCGGCTTCTTAAGGTCAGTTTCTCATCAACCCTTGAATGCCTGCCTTTTTTCGTAGTAAATTCATCTTATCTTGCTTTTTGTACATATTTGTAATTGCATTGTGTCAGTATCTGGATTTGTGTTGCTTCAAGTATTAGTAGGATTATGTTTAAATGTAAGTGAAATTTTAGAGAATTTTTTGTGATTTTGCTTTGTGGCTGGCCTTGCTGCTTGCTTAAAGAGTTGTTGTAGTTTGTTTCAGATTTTGTTAAGAATATTCTTATTTTGTATAGACATGCATATGGAAAGTGAAACTGAGAACCACTGAATAAAACTGGCTTATTTCCATTTTTTCCCAACTCTGGCAAAACAACCTAGAGCTTTACTTTCCCACTGAGGAGGGCTGAAATTCTGTCTTGAAGAAAGCCATTGAGTTAAAATGTAGATGAGTGTCTGCTGTGATCTGTATCTCACAGCTGGGCACAGCTGTGACACAGGAGGTGATACTGGACATGAAAGGCAAGTTCTGCTCTAAATCACAACTCTGACACCTGCAGGGCACTTGTTACAGCTCTGCCTGAACTTGTCCATCTCCTGCACCAGACAAGTAATGTTTTTGGTTCTAAGCTAAGCTCACTGGAAGACAAAAACTCCTTTTACCTGATATTTATACTTTTTAAAATTCTTTTAAACTCATCTCTAACAGAGACAAAGAATAACAGGCAAGATATAGATCAGGTTTTCAACTCCATCTCTGTTTTTCTTTCATTTTAGAGTATAAATTCTCTGGAAAGTAACACCATTCCATCAGAAAGATAAAAACTCTCAGAAAAAGTAATATCCCTTCTTGAGCTGGGTAATACAATGGAAAAAGTTAAACTGGCTTTTTAGTGTATAAGTTTTTCACAGATTCGAAATAGAAACTAAAACCTCAAAGCTATTTATAAATTGAGCTCCCTTACTTTCGCTTTACAAATAATCAGGGCATTTCTGAAAGGAAAAATCTATGTGGTACCTGTGGAGCAGAGGAATTGCTACTTATTTATTTGGGAAGAGGAAATGGATATAAGTGACTGGAAGGTGGAGAGAATTTCATCCTTCCCCACTGCTGGCTTGCCCATCTCCCAGATAAGCTAGTCCCAAAACATTGTCTGCAGCAAAAGCCAGGAAACAGCTCTGCCTTTGGGGGAGTGCCTTGTGCACCTTGACATAACGTTGGGAGTGGGGGGCATGAAGATGAGAGAAAACTTTCTAAAGTTGGTGAAAGAAAACAAGGCTATAAAATTGTGGCAAACAATATTGAGCTTTTTGATCAAAGTGCTTTTAAATCAAGTACTGGTGTTTCACTGGACTCCTTATTTACAGCTTGATATAACCTGCTTTTTGTCAGCTTGTTCACTCAGACTCACATGTAGCACCTAATGGGTCTGGGGTGTTGCAGTAAAATAGCATTTGTTCAGCAATCTTTGTTTTTCATTTCTCAACTTCCTGTCTTCACAGCAGTCCCACTCCTCCATTTTTCTTATTCTAGGACTTGGAATGTTATGAAAGACTTGAATATTATGTCATCCTCTGGTTAAAAAGTGTGTGATTTTCATGGCACTACTACTCTTTTTTATTAATTATTCTCAGCTTCCTAAACTGATCCAAAAGTTAAAGTGGAGGGGGAATTCCTCTGTTCCTAAAATAACTTTACTAATTTTCATTTTCTTAAGCTCTGTACTTATGAGGGACATTTATTGCCTGTTAGTTCATATGTCAGCAAAGGTTTGGGAAGGAAAGCCCCTAACAACTCTCCTCAAATCTTTTCTCCTTTACATTATTATTGGAGTACATGTTTCATTTAGGCTTTTATAATCCTTCTTAGGTAACATTTTATTTCTATTAGTAGCAGACCCCATTGCCTGAAATCTTTAACATGTTGACCCTTTAAAATATAAGGCACGATTAAATCAAATTATTTGGGAAAAATGATGAATCAAAATGACCTCCATTGCCTTTAGAAATCTAAAATGCCCCATCTAACTCTTATGATTAACATGTGATTTAAGTGAACACCTACTCCTTCTTTGTCCTTGTACAGTAATGGTCACTATTTCTTTCACTACTTTTCCAGCATTTTTAATTCATATAGCACTTGAACTCTAAAAGACCACTGAAAAAAAAGCATTGTGAGTCTTGGAAGTGAACCGTATGCCATGTATGCAGGATGCAGAGCTGAACCAAATGCATCCTGCGTAGAGACTTGGCAGTGTCAGGTGTGCCCAGAGTCACTGCAGAGGTGTCACAAAGGGCACACAGGGTGCCAAGTGTGGCCATGCAGCTGGACCATATCAGCTGCTGGGGAAAGGAGGTGTTATTTAAGGATTTAAAGAACAATATTTGTCTTAACCACTGTCCAAACCACAAAGGATTGAACTTTCGGAATGGCACAGAAATACATTTGGAAGCACGTCCTGTCTCGCCCCAGCTCATTCCCTTTGTGTGTGGAAGGCTCGCAGGTGGCCCTGGGGACCCCTGTCCTGCAGGTCCCTGTAAGCTCTGCCTTGCTCCTACTGAGAGTTGCCACTGGCCTTCACAGAAATCATGACAAAATTTGCTATTCCTCTGGCATGAAGCTGTGCCAAATACTCCATTTGACAGCACTGGGTCCCATGAGACCCCAAAGGGAATGTAGTATCAGTAAATGAAGTTAAAATAATGTATGAAACAACAGAGGAAGTTCTGAGCAGTACAGAACTTATTCAATCTTCACCTCAGACAGGACTGCTGGGATGCTGTGACAAAAAAAAGGGGAAGCTCTGGGGAAGGAGCTGGTGCTGTAAACAAGCTTGGTAAAGGTCTGGTTTCATTTTGTGTCCTTCAGTTACAATATGCAGCAAAACACTTGCTGTCCCTGATGTGTCATTTTCCTTGCCTCTGACTCCTCTCCATGTAGAAATTTTCATTTTTCAAAAACTTGCTTCTTTATTCACAGTATGTTTTCCATGGTGGGACCAGGTTTTTAATGCAGCAGAATGCAGCTGTTATTAAAAATTGTTTTGGTTCATTAGAATGAAATGGTTTCATTAGAATGAAATCCTAGGATCTTAAATCCAGTGTAGTCAATAGAGAGACATCTATATAACGATTTATGTCAAAACCAAAACAATGAATAAAAAACCCAGAGTAAGGTGAAACCCAGACTGGTGAAGCACAAAAAAAAAAAAAAAAAAAAAAAAAAAAAAAAAAAAAAANAAAAAAAAAAAAAAAAAAAAAAAAAAAAAAAAAAAAAAAAAAAAAAAAAAAAAAAAAAAAAAAAAAAAAAAAAAAAAAAAAAAAAAAAAAAAATGCAAGCAACCAAGTATTTAATTTTTGAAAGAATGGCAATCTTCATCTTTTTAAGGTAGAAGAGTATCTTTCCCTCACTCCTGTGCATCTGAGATGTACCATCTTTTACACATCTTTTACATTTAAGCTCTGTAGTCAGACTTGGCACTGCCAAAACTTTCCCTTGGTTGCTTCCTGACTTCTTGACCATTGTAGCATAAAACATTTTTTAATTTCTTATATGTTTATCCACAGAGAAATGCTATTGAAAGAAAAGTTTGAAGGTAGAAAAGCTCTTATGACTATAAATTAATTAAACCTTGGTATTTCCATGAAGATTAAGTAGGCCTACTCAGTGTCTTTCCCTAGGACATGCCATTTTCTTTGTGCTGTAATCAAGCAGTTTGCCAGTCACTGAATTGAAGTGATTGATTTGTCTGTCTTGCATTCCCTTAAGCCTTCTGTCCAAGTTCATCTCTGACTCTAACCCCAAAATTATATTGACTCAGAGGTAATTTTTCAACACCTTTATTCACAAAGTCTGGAAGCTTGGCCTTCTGAAAGGCCTTATTTAGATTTTCTGTTAATTCAACAAATGGAAGGGGCACAACCAAGTATTGCAACAAACTGAAAATTAAATCTGGTGTGTTTATAACCTCATTCTTGGTTCTCAGGCATGTTTCTAAACTTCTGCTTTCCATTTATAGCTGCCAAGTAAAAATTTTTGTAGTCTTGGTAATGTAGTGAGGCTATAAAACATGAAAAAGGAGAATTATCTTAGTGCAGGCTATTCCTACTTGTGGAACCACACCATGCGTTCACCCGCTTTTCAAACTTCTGGCTCTAGATTTTGGCATTTTCTGCAAGAAATGCAGAAATATCCATTTCCAAGCTGTTCAGAGGGACAAACCCATGGAGGGATAAGGGGAATGAAGATGAGTTTATAACAAGGCAGCACGCAGTAGTGTGTGATAAGGTCTGCTCTGCCTTCTTTCATCACAGCTGCAGTGCTGGCTGTTGTTGGTTTTTCCATGTTGCAGGTAGGTTTCATGGTACAGCAGTTGCTCCCTGTTGCACTCCTCAGGAACAGAGATGGATGCAGACAGGGACATCACTGGTCTTCTGCTAAGGGTAGAGTATTTGAGAGCCATTAATTAGATATTCTTCATTGCAAAATGTGCTGTTTGATGCCAAGCTGAAGTTTTCTATGGTTGTGGAGTGTGGACACCCATTTTAACAGGATAGAGTCTGAAAATTTTGCTTTTCATCCTGGTATCTCAGTATTATGCTGGAGTAAATAATTTGGATCACCAGCTCAGGTGGCATTTATACCAGTGATCTATAAACACTGAAGAACCAATATTTGGATTTGAAATAATTTGATAAAGATGATGAAAAAGTAATACATAGTGTTATTCTATACTTGTGGAATATCCAGGAGGAATGTTTGAACTGATTCTAGTGTTTGCTGCTGTAACTAGAAGGAAATAGAAGGGAATTTACAATGATGTAAAGGACCAGATAAACTTTATGAACAAATGTGGCTTCTGGATTCTCCCATCATATTCACTGTAGTCTTCTAATTTCCCTGATACCTACTGGATTTGTGCATCATTTATATCCTGGTAAGATACCAGGGTTGCCACGTATTCAATACTTGGCACTTTTGGCCCAGGTGGTCAGACTGCAGTGTCCCACTTCTCTCACTGGAGTAAAAGATAGGTGAGTCTCACTGCAGGCTGTCTCTGGATCTCTGAGTAATGCAGGGCTATAACTCAATGCAGGTCTTAGTAAGAAATGCTAGCTCTCCAGCCTCCAGATCTGTGTCTTGCCAACAGAAATCCACAGTGCAGGATTTGTGGATTTGACTGACAAAAGCTGTGGCTGTGTCATAGCTAACTGCTGTGCAATTTGATTTCAGACAAAGAGACAAACCATGGATTCAGTATTTGTGCCTGAAAATGGCTACCTTGATTTACTGCACAGTGATATTGATCCATTGCATCTGTGTACTTTCTTTGATACTAAGTCATCTGGAGATGAAGAAGGTGACTTCTCTACAGGTTAGTAAAACACTAAAAAACTTGACTGGTTTATTCCTCATGCTGTAAGTTATTGCCAACTCCTCTCAGCTCCAGAGCCAGTTTATGGCAGTTTATCATGGTGACTGAGTTAAAGTTTACAAGCATTTGCTGTTAGGATGTGGTTTGTCTGTGTCTGTACATACAGTGACTGCTTCCAGAAACTGTCACATTTTTAAATTGTACATATTTATAGCATCCTGCTCATAGGGCATGACAGTGTCTTTCATTTGGATATCATTCCTGTAAGTAGTTTCTTTGCAAATGTTCCTGTCATAAGCTGGCCAAGGTAATTGTCAACACCTCTGTGGCTTGAAGCCAAAAGTTTTGCTTTGGCTTTTAGAGACTTTTAGATGAGTTTGTGATGAAGACAGTCCATGAGCAAACAGCTTTACATTCTGAGATCCTAAGGCACCAAAACAATGGAGTTTCATTATCAGATGTCATTTTCCAGCTTTTTGGGACACAGTGATTTTATAATTCCATTACAAATGAGAAAGCAGAAGGGCAAGAGTATTAAGTTGATAATTTCTTGCAATTCAGTTCCTACAAGTAATCAGATCAGGAGATTGCCCTGGATCTCAAACTTTGTGCTCCTGACTTTGTGTGGAAATTGTGGACTTATCTGCTTTCCTTTTCCTGAGTGTTCTGTTATAAAAGTATGAAAGTGTATCTGTGGTATGGAGTGTTAGCTGAGCTTATGTTAAACAAATGAGATGGCAATGAGAGGAGAAGAGCTGGTGTATGCCAGGCATGAAGTCACACCTCTGTGCCAAATAGGTGGAAAATATTACCAATTTGGTTCACTGTGGTTTTCATGAATGACCAATGCCAGTAGGCACATGGACAAATCAGTGGAGAACTGAGCACCAGTATTATCTTTGTGATTGATCATTTCCTAGATTAGGCTTTTCCCTCTCAGTTTCTGATTGTTAAAAACAGCTGCAGGAGTGTTCCTTGCCCCATGACCTTACTTGCCCAGTGACTGAAAGTAGGTTGAATTAGAGGTCAAGCACTGACTCATGCTATCACAGATGTTTCACTGTTTGGAATACTTTTGAGCCTCAGCAATGTCCGAGATGATGCAGGTAAATCAAACATCATCAGGACCAGTTTCTGGAAGCTGGGCATCTCTGTTGTGAAGGTGTTACACGGCCAACTGGCAGCTTCACAGGCAATTTGCAGTGCAGTTCAGGGATTATCATGGACACAGTATTGTTCTGAACAGGGCATGCCTGTAGGATAAGAAGGCTTAATAGGCTGTATGAGTCTGGGCTTGATCATTATAGAATGGATTTGGGAAATATCTTATTTACTAGGAGAGATGAGGTCTCAGAGTTTAGCAAAAGAAAAGTGCTGATTTCCAGGTGACTAAATTACTGAGAGTTCAGTTCTGTTCCTTCTTAGCCAACACACAATGAAAAGCCAAAGCCTTCTGCTGAAGTAACAAATCTGCCTGTTCTGCATGTCCTGCTATCTGTTTTTTTTATGCTTGGTTATGGCATTCATTGAGCCAATGCAGACTGACTTATCTCTTGATCTTATTAACTCTAGATCTTGAAGTTGAGGCCAACAACTATGAACAGTTAAATAATGTGGATTTCCCATATGAAAATGGAGATGGGTTCTACCCCTGTTGCAACACCACAGATGCTTATGCTAAAATAGGTATGAAAGCAATTTTTGTTTTTTTAATCTTTATTTTACAATCATTTACTATAGCTGTTTCTTATAAACTCTATTCTCAATCTGAAGCCATGGCATTTACTCAAGTAGCCTTTCCTTCATGTGTGATAGATCTGATTTAGAGTACCTGAACCTGTGCATTGTGGAGAAGCTGATTAGCAGTTGCTTGTGGCTGTTGGGGGAAAATCTCTCTACTAATATCTCCTTCTGCTTAATACTTCTGTTCTCTACTTCTCTTTTCTTGTGATCTTTATTTCCTGTACAACAAGTTACAAGAAAAACTTAAATTAACTCTTCCATTTTACTTACTGCAGCGTTCTGTTAATGAGGATAAGCTTACTAGAGTTTTCCTGTGACATTTACTGTGTCATTATTGTGTTCCTCTTTTGTTTTTTTCCTTTGTTGCTAGCTGAATTAGTAGAATATGTGCTCAAGGATCAGCAGGAGAAGCAGGTCGAAGACACTTTTGGTAAGATTTATATAGCAAAGACTTTCTTCATGACAATGTTCTGTCTAACATAAGCTTCATCCACCCAGTTTGAACACTGGTAAAGTTTCTATACCTCTGATATTTTCTTCTTTCCCCCTGGGTACAGTATCCCAGAATTTTCTTGGAAAACTTGAGGACTTTATGCATTTTTGCAGGCCTTTCTCAAAGATGGCAGTTTTGTCTCTGACCAAGCTGCTGATATTGTCACCCATGGCCATAGAATATGCACAGTTTCACTGTCAAGTGCATTAATAGCCTTGAGTAGCATCACACTTATTCTGAGCACAGCAGGGATGATACACATAAGTCCCCAGAGCACTTTGCATGTGTATAAATACAGTTTACACACACTGATTTCTGTCCAGGATGCAAAGAACTGCCTGAGGAAGTATGTCAAGTTTCACTTCTCACCCTGATTAATGCAGCAATGATATTATAGTAAATAATTCCTTCATCCATTCTTGACTGGAGACGTTGCTTGTCTTGTGGTACCAAATCATTGTTTTGGTAACAGCACAAATATAGCTATTTACTATTCCAGAACAGATATATCAATAGGTGGCTGTTGAGAAATTCATATAGAACCATAAGGTTCACAGAATATCTGTATATCCTATTTTATGTTTGAGCAAAATAATTTGGACTAATTTTCCAATGGTCTATCTTTCCCTAGAATAATCCTGGCTGTGAGAAGCTCACATGGCTTTCCAAATGATTGATGCTGCTCCCTTGTGTTTAGAATTTGGAGGGTTTTGCACCTAAGGGCAATATTTTTATTGGTTTTAGAAAAAAACAGAATGTAATATTAGTTCTTAAGTATTTTCCGATAAATGTATGGTGTGAATAACTTCACAATTCTTGCAGCACAGAATATAAAATCTTTTTAGAACCCTTTATTCTGTCTCTTAAAGGATCTAATCCCTTTAGTACATAAATTGAGTAGTACTGAGATCACACTGTGACACAGCTGCAATGTTTTATCCTTTGCTCATCATTAGAGCATTGAGAAGTTCTTAAGTTTTATTAGCCACTGCCAGTAGATTAATAGTTTGCAGTACAGAAATTAACACAGGGTGACAAAATCTGCATTCAGAGCTCTGTAGGCTTTCTAAGTCATGTGAATCTGGGTACATCTTTTATTGCATTATTTTATTTTTATTTTTTATTTGGAGCATATTTTATCTTTGCTCTCTGTTGTTGTGGTTTTCTTGCTTTTATTCCTCTGCAATTTTTTAGGAGAATGAAGTTTGACATTGGACCATATTTCTTGTTTTTAGCAGGGAACCTTATTTTGGATGACATTGCTGCTGAAAACACTGAGAAATTTCCTGACATAAAGATCCAGTCATGTCTTAAACGAAGTAAGTGTAAACAGTGAGAGTATGAAAGGCTTTGTGCCTGAGTCCTAAACTTGCATTACAGCCCCTTGGCTTTAGCACAGCCCCAATGCACTTGTCATGCAGTTCTTCAGTGACACCAATCTGCTTCCTCTGCCTTTGTTCATGCTTGTGGGCAGGAACTGAAAGCAGCTCTTCCAAGCGTAGAATTTACAGTTCGCAGAATTTCTTTTCCTGTAACATAACAGTAAACATATTATATTTCTTTGCATTTTTGTCATCTTCATGGCAGTGTTGACTTTGTTTTCAGTGTATCTATAGCTTAGTAAGCATTGGCTGAACAATTGCTCCTTTAACAGCAAGAACAGCAAAAATCTTTGGCACAAAAATCTGCAGCCTAATTCAAACTTCACAGAGTGAAATAGCATGAGACTTTTCACATTCATTTTTATACATTGGACCTGTACAGTTCTGAAATAGCTGAATTGAAACTGGCAATGCTTCCTTTCAGTTAAAAAAGTTAAAATAAGTTCCATGGGCTAACTTTAAAATTGCCAAAATTTTGCCACTTACTATGACCTTGCTTTCTTTCAGCTTTCTTAGGCTCTGCAGCAGAGAGTTACTGTGATGCTTCAGAGCCCAAATATAAGAAAATTGGTAAGTCAGTGGCTAAATAAGAAAAGATTGTTGAACATATATTGTCTCATGTTCCAAAATCTCATCTTCTGTTAGGTACTGTAACTACCTTCCAGAAAAGTTTGCTCTCATAGATTTGGTGATTTGATCATCATGCATTTTCATGTTTCTGCAAAAATCACACTTTTGGATTCCTCTTACTAATTTATAATATAACAAATCCATGTCCTCCTATCTGCAGCTATTAAATTGTGCAACTTAGGATCAGCTACATAGTCACCTAAGAGCAGTTGGATCCTTATACTTCAAAAGTACGTTCCTGCCAGGTGATAGGAAAATAACTTGCTTAACATCAACACAGGGACAGCTCACCTTTTCTAAATCCATATAAGGGAAGAAAGAAAATAATGGAGACCTGAGTCAGTGCCAAATTCTGTAAATTTTATCACATACACCTTTTTTGCCACTGGATTTTTGGAAGATATCTCACTTGAAGCAGAAAGGATCACACCCAGGAAATGTGGAGCTATGACCTGAATCATATTACCTGTCAGGTCATAGCTCCACATGCCCTGGGTTTAATCCTCTTTCTTCCAAGTGTGACCTCTTCCAAAAGTCCAGTGAAACATCCTAGTGAAAATAGTAACTGTGAAAAGATGATTTCTTGGCCTAGTCCATGCTATAACTAAAACTTTAAACTAAAGAAAGAAAGGGAGAAAGGGAAATTTCTAGATTTTGCACATTATTAGACCATCTACAAGACAACACCTGGGGCCAGTAGGCAGACTGGAACTTATCCCCTAGGTGTAAACTGGTGCTAATGTTCTTACCCAGCTGTAGCCTAAAGGAGTATCTCAGGCAGAGCTAAACAGCAAAATACTTTTCCAAAATCCAGGTGAAAACAACCAGTTTTGACTATTTTATATTGTGGTTTGAATGGACATCTGACTCATTTTATGTCAGGACATCTCACAAACCTCCTAAACACTTGGGGCCATGTACATATTGGGGGGTGGCCAAACCAGTGTGTAACCTAGAGATCCATCCTGAGGTCTGGGATCTGGGACTGCACCTCAGCACAGTTCAGACAAGGAGCTGGCATAGACTGCATGAAAGTCAGTGAGACGATCCACCTGCACCATGACCTTGATCCAAGCTGGTTTTCCAGAGTTCTTGTGGAGTTCTGAGGGAGTGGGGAGGGAGAACTGAGCAGAAAAACATGTTTGCTAGCTCTGGGAAAGTTATCAGAGTTTCTACTGAACTGGTACCTGCTGATTGTATTTATTTAGACACAGGTGAATTTCCTGGCAGTTAGCAGCCGTTAAAGGTGGATTACTTTCTATTTGCTTAAGTTCCTTTATGGATTTGACACTTTAAAAAGCTTGTATTTATGCTACACTAATAATAATAGTTTTCCATAAGGAAATGGCACATCAGTTCCAAATGCCTCACCCTACAGAACATGCATTCTAGATGAAAGGATCATCACAGAGCTAGCAGGTGCTTTGTGAAGCTGCACCCATCCTTTTGCTGGAAGTCCTCAGAATATTACGTTTCTCTACTGTCCTTGACCCAGTGAAGGTGCTGAGGAAGGAAATTATACATAAGACAGCATAAGTACTGTGTACAAAAATCGAATTGACAAAAAAATGAGCTATTTGACAAAATCAGGAGTTTATTTAAGCTGTCACGAGTGTCACAATATGATCCTGCAAAGACAAATGCATCAGCTCTTCAGAAGTGCAAGACTGCCTACAGCAAAGAGAATAATGTGTACTAACGTTCAAAGTAGTAAGCCAAGGATGAGATTCTTTCAAAGGAATTGAATGAAATAGTGGCACAAACTCCACACAAGTTGTAGCTCCTGACAAAAACATCAGACCACAGAAAGTGATGAAGTATAGACTTAATTGTTGCAACTAGACAGGGGAGGGACAACTCTGAGAATAGGGGTGTTGTAAAACCAATGAAACAAACAGATTAATTCAAATAAGCAGCTGTGTCTTCCTTGTTTTGTAGGAGTCTTTTGATAAGCAGATGAAATTGTGCAATGCACAAACCTTTCACCCTATTTGTTCTATTATTGGAGGAAAAAATATGCTGCAGAGGAGATGCATCTTTAAAAGCTCTGGTGTTTGTGTCTGTTCTTTGGGAGACACTTAACACACACTCTTTGTCCTTACAAGCACTGTAATGTCTAAGCAGAGAGTCAAAGTCCCCAGCTTATTGTTTGTGGGCCTCTCTGCTCTTGTGGAATACTGAGACAGCAAACTGTGCTTGGAAAATCATTGCAGCCAATGTGAGACATTGTGATGTCTTATCTGTCAGTCATCTATGTGTAGGGTCACGTACATCTAGATACATCTGGAAATACCAGAGGCCAGGAAAGATGAAGAAAAAGAAAAGTTAAAGAGAAACTACTGAGAAGAAACAGTGATCTACTACAGAATTTAATAAATACATTTCAGATTCTGAGAGCTAAATAGTTTTCAGAAAGCTATTGTGAATTGCTCTTGCTCTTGGAAAGTCAAAACACAGCTGATCAGAATCAAGTGATTTTTTCTATTTACTGAGACCTCTTCTTTGGTTTGTTTAAATTCTACCAATGAAATAATTTTCTCCTTTTGTTTTGCTATTTTATTTTAAAGTGGAAGTCCCTGCAGCTTCTGCAGGGAATGGCAGTTTCTTTGCAATGCCTCTCAACAGCCACCCAGTGAACTGCACCTCTCTAAGTAACCAGTACATGTCCTGTTCTGTTCCTGCTGCCCATGGGCTGGAAAGAAGCCTCATAATTCCTGGTACGTAGAGTACAGCTGTAGGTTGCACCTGTACACAGGCTGATTTACACATGGGGAAAACTTTCTTATAAATATTGTCATTGACTATGAGCAATGGCAGGTATGGCAGCTCTTAAAGGTGTGACACTCACTCAAAGAATGTAAAATATTCAAGGGAAATTGAAAGGGCATTGCTCCTAATTGAGTATAATGAATCTTTCATTTAATTGGTGCAGGTTATAACAGAACAGTTATTTACTATATTATAATCTAAGAAATTACTTACATGTCTTAAGAATAGGAAGTCACAAAATTTTCATTATTAAACTTTAATTTAGTTCCAGTTTCCTTTTCATCCAGATATTTATAAAGAACTGAGGGATAATTACATTTGTAGCAGTAGAGCAAAATCTAGGCTGTGATTTAGCACATGAAAATTGAGCAGTAATCCCACTGATGGGCTGTGTAGGCACCTGGCTTGGGCCATGCTGGGTAGCAGAGGGTGCTCCTGGTACACTGAGAAGTGTTAATGACAACGGCCCACTTTAACACCTTTCACTGTTAAGTCTGTGCTGGAAAGGAACAAAAACCAGTGTGTAAGTTGGAAGTCTTGAAGTACCTCATGCAAGCTGAAGCAGCATAAAGTAGCAGAAGAAATTCTGTCCCACCTACAGAAACTCAGAGCTATGGCTGATTAAATTGCAAGCTTTGAATCATCAAAAAACTTTCCCAATGTGAGTTGAGGGGGAGGATGCTTGTACAACCTGCATGATGTGCAGTTGTTTGGGAAGGAAGGTACATTTAATGCAGATATATACTATTTACACATTTTCTCTTCTCTGGATCTTTAAATGTATATTTACAGACTTTGCCTTAAGCACATTTCCTTATGAGAATAGAATTTCTCTTTAGACTATTGAAAACAGTGGCTGCTAAAAGCTGGGTAATCCCTTATATTTCAAGCTCATCATACCTTGTAAGAGTTCTTTTTTAATGGGTTCTATGGACCTTATGTGATCCTGTGAATTCTCCACCAGGAAGATTTGCCTAGAAGCTGCCAGAAAGGGAGCCAAAGTACCTGTTAGAAAGCTTTTTCTCTCTCATAAAGCTTTAGAAAGCACAACCCTTTAAAAACAGAAGAGTAATTGTTCTGCACTCTTTTCAGGATTGTCTGAACCTTTGACCACAGAGTGCCAACCAGTCAGTGTGAAAGGGTACCAAGAGAATCTAGGCTTGGCAGGTCCTCCTCAGCAGATATTTAACTTTGTTCTTGAAAATGGCACATCTGATGTTATAGTATATCCAGGTAAGAGAAATAATCTTTTATCCCCATAAAGAGGAATAAAGTGCTAAAAAATCATTGCTGCCAACAGCAGCATTGATTAAATTCAGTTACTGATAGCTATGATATGCTGAAAAGTATGCTTTGTTTTTTGCCAGTGCTGACATCTTCCATGGAAACATTCATGTCTCCAAGTTTTCCAGTTAATTTATGTGGTAAGTGGGAAATTGGGGTTTATATATGTGCAGCACTTTGAACTGGGAGAGAAACCATATTGTTTCTAATCAAAGCCAGTTCTCCCCTCCAGGCTTTACTCATATTGACCTGAAAAAAACCAAAAATTGATGGTATTTCCTCCTTTGTATTGATCATTGACTGCTTAGTCTGATCCAAAATGTACAGATAAGAGTTGTAGAACTTCAGGTTCAGCAGCCAATCCCCTGTGTTTGCTGTGACATCCAGTTTCTGGAAGAAGTTGGGTTTAGTTAAAACAATGCAAAGCCCAGGGTGCTGGAGCACCCTTAGAAAGTGGGAGATGATCTCATGCTGGCATGGCCTGAGCATCTTAAATGCTCAGTGCTGGCAGCCAGAGTGCAGCTAGATCCCATGGAAGCCCCAAAACCAACATGATGATGACTTATTTAGCTAAGCAATACTGAAACCTAATGCACAGAAAGGCTTATAATGAAATCAGAGCCCTGGTCAGAATTTAACAGTCCCACTTCAGGTAACAAACTTTCCTGAGACACTTTTCTTCCAGCCCTCAGAGGGCTGTTGGAATCCAGAGTTTGATAGCAGTTTTGTTTCTGGTCCCTGTGCCCAGTGCAGGAGTTTGTTGCCCTCTTGTGGCTTCCACTATCGCAAAAGCAAAAGTATAACATGGAGATTAAGAGGCAAATATCCCTAGTTATGGGGAAGTCTTTGTAAATTGTATTTGCTGTTTATGTAAATAAACAATGCCATTAATTCGAACTGATTTACTGCAGCTCAACATACGTATGCCACAAGCCCCGGAATTCCAGATGCAGCAACAGACAGATTAGCATGTAAGATGCCAAGCCAGTTTCTTTGGTTTTTTTTAAAAGTTCTTCACTCCTACCTGCTTTGACCATTTTCCCATCTAAATGTCTCATTACAGATTTTTTTTTCTGTTCTTCCATTCTGTTTTCTTAGTTAATAAAATAAACAGTAAATCAAAACTGAACACTTGCTTGCCCAACCCATCTTTATTCAGTATCTTTCTTAGTGGAAGCCTGTGGTGCTTCCTTTTTAGAAGCAATTCTGAACTTAAACCATTCTGAAGGTTGCTGATATGCAGAGTAGGAATTCATTTCCAGATCTCTGAAACTGTAAGATTTGTATTTTTTTGAGATGACATTCTACATCAAGATAATCAAGATGATATTCTGGTATGAAACACATTTGTACATATTTAGGGAGATTAATCTGTATTGGGTAAATTTTTGCACATCTCTGCTGTGTGTGGTTACAAGACCCTGAGGTTGTGTTTGTTACAGCCTTTGTCAATTTAAATTCTGTCTTGCATCTGCAAAGCTCTTCCTACCAAAAGTTTTGTCACAACTGATACTCTGCAATTACCAATCTATATAAAATGTGTTCTCTCTGAAAAATTCCCAGTTTCTTTGAGTAAAGGAGACATTGTTCACCTGACCCAACTGCAAAAGTCTGTAGTAGTTTGAAAGCAAACAGGTGAAAAGAAAGTAATTGGACAGCAATATGACTTTGTCAGGGAGAGTCATGGGTAAATACTGTTACCAAGAGTCACTTCTCTGCAACTTTCATCTTTAGTGCTTGGTTACAAAGTGTAGAATAACAAAAGGAAGCTATTGCTTTTGAAGACATAAAGAAGCACTATGTGTGAACATGAATTTATGCAAAACACTGACATTTGAAAAGAACAGTGGATGTCACCTGGTGACGGTAAATCTGCTTCCCACAACTGTCAGAACAGCTGTTGTCTTGTTTGATGCCATTCTGCCTCTAACTGCACATCAGCAGAATTCTACTTGTGGGAGAATTTTATTCATTTTCTTGTAAGATTAACAAAATATCTCTTACTCTGAATATATGCTACAATGAACTTGGAAATTTGCATTAATCTTATCGTTAAAATTAGTAAAGCTGAATCAGTGATTATTTAGAGGTCTTTTTCAAGTATATTGTTTTGTTTCTCCAGATTTAGAGGAATTTCAAGAAGTTCAAGATTCCATAATTTCTTCTGAAGAACATTTCAAAAGACCAGGTGAGTTTAGAACTCTTGAACCTTCCAGTATTTTTTGGAAAAAGATTCTGTCTTTCTTTCCCTACAGAGAACAATTCAACAAATTGTGAAGCTGTTCTGAGGGTCTGAGCACAATTTCTGGTTTCAAGATATTAGACTTGGCTTCCAGTAGATATCTAGCTGCTACCTGCTTAGCAGCTCAGTGTACTTCAATGGTTTTATCATGTGTACAGAGAACTCCAAAATTATTCAGTTCATAAATCTGAAAGTTTCTCTTGTGCCTGCACTTCTCAGCTGCAGTTGCATGAGCTAAATCCAGCCCTATGGGCTTTATGGGAATGCCTGTTCTTTCACCATATTGCAATCAGGTACTTAAGCCACCTTGAAATTATGTTGTAGTTTTTGGACTGGTTCCTTCAGTTTGTGTGTGCTCTTTATTTCTCTAGAGCAAGTGGAAACTTTCTGTTCATCCCTTAAGGATTATTTCCGAGACACCTGCAAATCTGTGACCATGGAGCGGGAAGTAAATCTGGATCACCTGTTCATTGATAGGACACTTGTTCAAAGTCAAACTGAAACCAAGACTGGAAAGAATAGTGCAAAAGCAATGGAAAAGGAGCTGGTAACCTGCAGCCTGCAAGAGAAGGAAAAGACAGCCATTGATAGAAGCCAAATATTTCAAATCCCACAGCGTAAAGACTTAGACACTAAAGTGATTGTGGTTCTGGGAAAAGCAGGAATGGGCAAAAGCATTCTCATTCAGAAGATCTGCCAGGACTGGTCCAATGGAGAATTTTCTCAGTTTGAATTTGTATTTTGGTTTGACTGCAAACAAATAAGTTTGCCTGAGAAGCAATACAGCCTGAAGGAGTTGCTTCTTGAATTTTTTGTAAAACCTCAAGAGGGAAGCAAAGAGATCTTTGAGTATATGCTGCAAAATCCTGATAAAATCCTTCTGATTTTTGATGGTTTTAAAGGATTGCATGATCATGAGAATTTTTCTCGTTGCTCAGCCAGCCAGCCTGAAAAGGATTTGTGCAGTATAAAGGAGCTGCTCTCAGGACTCATCCAAAAAAAGATGCTCAATGGCTGTACTTTATTATTTACAGCAAGACCAAAAGACAAACTGTACCAGTATGTGTCCAAAGTGGATAAGACTATTGAAATTGTAGGATTTTCTCCTCAGCAGAGAGAATTATACATAACCAAATACTTTGAAGAATCGCTCTATTGTGATAGTGCACTGAAATTAATCAAAGAGTGTGAGTACTTGTTCAGTCATTGTTACAGTCCTGTTATGTGTAGATTTGTTTGTTTTCTCTGTGAGACAGTGCTTGAAATGGGAGAGAACAGTCTTCCTTCAACTCTTACTGAAGTCTTCCTGAAATTTTTTAAGCAGAAGATCATGTTTATGCAAACAGATGCTACAACCACACAAAATCAAGAGAGTCTTGCTACCCTAGCTCGTGTAGCCTGGTGTCTTGGAGAAAAGCACCAAAGCACCATGAAAAGTGATCTTATTCCTTCTAAGGAAGTTAAAGAGTTTGCTCTGAAGTATGGGTTTTTCCTGCCATTTGCATTGCCCAGACGTTCAGATAGTGAAGAAGAGGAATTTGGGAGCACATTCTCTGATTTTGTCATTCAGAATTTCTTGTGTGCACTTCACCTTTTGTTAGCAGAAGAGCTCAAGGATAAAAATCTAACAAAGTACTTGTCTTTTCTATCGAAGAAGAAAAAACCTTATAACTGGTTAGATTTAATGCCTCGATTTTTGGCTGGTTTGATGTTTCTCCAGGATGACCCCTCCTTCTGCTCTCTTTCAAATGAGGATGAAAAACAGTCAACCAAGAAGCAGAAGACACTCTTGAAATACATCAGAAGGCTGCAGATTAATACTCTCTGTCCAGAGAGGTTGCTGGAGCTTTTATGTTGTGTTTATGAAACACAGAACAATTATCTTCTGCAGCATGTGGCCTTGAGACTTGAGCCAGAGTTGTCTTTTCTGGGCATAGTTCTTACACCACCTGATGTCCATGTACTGCACTCTGTTTTGAAAAGGTCAAGAAAAGAGTTTTCCTTGGATTTGCGGAACAGCAGCATTGACATGCAAGGGCTGCAAGCCTTGGTCAGCCTAAGGAATGTGACATCATTCAGGTTGGTCACTCTCTGTACCCCATAGCATCATCCATAGCTCTGGGTGTAGATGACACTTTCATGCAACAGCAGCAGTCACATCTGTTGGTTTTGCATGTTTTGTCACTTCACAGGGCTTCCCTCAGTGACACAGTCAGACTCTGGAAATCTTTGGAACAGACAAAAGACTACGAACTGTTGAAAGCATCCACAGAGAAATTTGTTCTTGATCCCTTTAAGGCAAAGACAATGAAGGACATCAGAGACCTCTCCGACCTTGTAGAGATGCAGGAGAAGATGATGAATTGGTAGGATAATTTGTGATCAAAACTCCTCTTATATCAGCAGTTTATGAAAACAGGGTTTCACCACCAGTGCTGGACAATGGAGTTGTCTCCTTGTCCAGAGGAGAAGTAATTAAGGCAGTGCAAACTCCTGGGTCATCTCAGGGGGTTCTCCTACCCCCGTGTGAGGTGGCTGTCATGGCAGGGATGAGCAATGACAGCACCGTGCAGAGCAGCCATCAAAACTGCCACTGAAAGAGCCAGCTGTCATTTCTCTTTATTCTCTGAGTATGCCATCTTCCAATTGCTTTCAGTTACATAACTTGGGCTGATTCTTTCTCCCTGTAGTACCTGGGCATAAAAAAAAGCCTATTTTGCACTGGTTCCAAAACGCCTGGGTCAGTCCTTTAGCCCAGGAGATAAAATCTTGTGTTACATAGATTAGAAACCCTGTGCTCAATCCCTACTGATGATGTAGCTTGGGGACTGGTTGCAATTAAAAACATGCAGAAGTAAAATTTTGTTGTTTGTTTTGGTTTTTTTTTAATTATGACTTCTACTTTAACAGGGATGGAGTATTTTGATTAAACTATAGATAAAATAGTTGCATGTTTGACCGAAAATAGTTGATTTAGAAAAATGTATTTTTAAGTTTTACTGGAAAATGAGCAAACAATTGCCCTGTGAAAGGCAATTATTGGATTGAAATTACTCAGTTGAAGAAAGGTTGGAGCAGATGTTACTCTGAAGTTTCCTGGTTCGCCAGTTAATGTAACAGTGATTTATCTTCTGTAAACATTTGCTAACAAATTGTTTTTAAAGCACTGTTTTGGCTGCTAAAATATTTATCATACTCTGATTCTATTGTAATTAATTTAGTGTGCAAGAAGCATCTGGTTGCACCAGCTATGAAATTCCTGCCATCAGAAACCTCAGAAAACTTGAATTTGCGTAAGTGCTGAACTTCTACTGGTTGAGGTGGTCATGTTTTAGGAGGAGCAGTCATGGGTGTTTGCTACAGCCATTGCACTGATGTATAGTCAGCTTAAAGCATTATGTAAACCCCATTTATTGCTATCTTGCTTTTCTTTGAACTAGATTTATTAATGTATGGACAAAACTCAAAGAACATAATTTCTGGCTCCTGCTGCAATGCAGATCAACAGGGCTCTACCAATTTTTGTTGTTTTGATACAAGTTACCTCCTGACCACAAGGTACTGATCTTGTGCCACAGGGCATAAAATATTTTGACTGTGATCCAACTACCTAGGAAATATTTTTTCCCCCAGAAATACTAAACTTTTCTATCCAAGTCTTCTGATGTGATTTTCTGCCCTATCAGAGCTAAGGCCATGAAAGGATTACATCAGAGGATGCCTCCCAAATAAATTATTTAGCACCCTTTTCCTGGAAGACAGAAGGTTGACTTAGTAAAAATACTTAAATGTGAGGTTTTAGTAACACTTCTCTTTTTCCCCCCAAATTGTAAGCAGCCTCCAAGGCTATTCTATTGCTCAAAATATCTTGCCATAGTGTGTGAATTAGTTTGGGCAGAAACTGCAGCAGTGCAATGGAGAATTCTCATCAGGTCTTCACCTGTTTCCTGCTCTGTAGATCTAACTCAACCTGGGACACCTATGCTTGGCCTCACTTCTGATTTCATGCTGCTTTCTCTTCTAATTTCCTCTTCCTAGTTCCTTTTATTTAAATTTTGCTTAAAATGCTAATCCTTTTAAATAACTGAACTTGTTCTGATACTAAAGAAACTCCAAATAGGATATGAGAGACAAATGCTTGGAACATGAATATCAAAGTGAAATTTATGCTTTAAGCTGCAGTAAAATGTTGATCTTAAGTTATTAGTAGTTTGGGGGAAATAAGTATGTTTTCATTTCAGTTGTATTGAGATAGATATGTATTTCATCTCAAGATTATGCTCACAGTGAAAAACCTGAAAAAGAGAACAGAAATAAAGGAAGCTCTAAAAGTGAGATAAATCTTGCAGAGAGGAACAAAAAGTGGCACTTGTCCCACTGCTGCTGTGCAAGCTCTGTCCTACGTGGTCTTAGCCTTGTTGGTCCTCATCTGGAGGCTTCACAGCAGAATTCCTTGGTGCAGGTGGTAGGTACTTCTCAAGAGTGTAAAGTAGCTTGCAATGGGGACTGCAGGGAAAGAACTCAAAAATTCCTGAGTTTTGCTGCTTGTGAGCATGTGAAAAACCTGCTCCATGTCTGTATTTTCTTCCAGGCTGGGTCCAGCATGTGGCCTTCAAGGATTGCTAAAACTTGTGAAAATTCTTGCAGCATTTCCATCACTTCAGCATTTAGAGTGAGTTCTGCTAAAGATTCACTTTGCTAACATTTCTTCTCAGCAGCCTTTGATGATGGAGAAGCTCTTGTAGCCAAGAAACATTTTATTTGCCAATGAGACACCTTGTTTGATGGCCAAACTGAACAGCAGAAACATTCCCAAACTGTTACAGCAGCCTAAAAGCTGCCACTCCCCATCTTTCCTGGTGGTTTGTTCAGAACCCTCAGTCCCTTCCTGGGGAGTTCCTGGGTGGGTAAAGGTTCAGTACAGAGCCCCTGGGGTCCCCCCCTTCCTGCCTCACTACTGACCAATAGCCTGCAGTGACTTCTGACTTCACTGGAGCTCCAGAATATCCATGACAAACCAACTCTCTTAGTTTTAAGCTTCTTTACACTAGAAAGTGTACCAGCAGTAGTCCGGGTTGTGCCATGGCATCTGTGGGAAGGTCCCTGGGTCTTGAGAGACACTTTGGCTTTATGCAGCCCATTGGCTGCATTGGTCTGTATTGTAGCTGGCCTTTTCGTGGTGTTTCAGGAAAACAATAAAATATTTAATACATTCAGTATATCCAAGCATTATCTGCCAGATTAGAAGGGGAGCCAGTATCTGAAATTGTGACTGGATATGAGGAAAACTTAATTTTTAATACTCCCTCTCTGGAGAAGGAGCTGTTTAGGCAAGGATTTACAGCCTCTGCTGAATTTTGTCAGTTCTGTATTTTTGTGTGCACAGGAAATCTCCTTTCAGCTTAGCTGGAACACAGCTATTTCATAACTATTTTAATAATCATGCATATCAAAGGAAATGGGTCAAGGCATTCAACTAGTAAAAAAAAAAAATTATTTTGCTTTAAATTTGGACAGCAGAAAGCTGCTTTTTAGAGACGCTGTAATCTGTGTGATGCTTCATGCCAATTGAGGTTACTGCAGAGAAGCTTTTCAAGATAGATAGAGTGGTCTCTGAGGTGAATAAACCACAAAAATTTAGATTAAAAGGGAAGCTAATTCTCTTTTTGTTGTCACACAGTCTTGATGCTCTGAGTGAAAATGGCATAGGAGATGAAGGAGCAAAGAGTCTATCTGAAGTCTTTCCAACCTTGCCATCACTAGAAACATTAAAGTAAGTGCATTAAAGTAACATTAAAGTAAGGTTAACAGTTTGGGGAAATTTTGAGAATAAACATATTAAACCTAGAGATTTAAGGGACTGTCTGTTAACAACTATGGGCTAAAGTATCCCATGGGCATGGAAGACCAATGAGCCTATGGAGATACTTAATGAGTACATTCATTAGACAAATAGATTAATCCTTCCTGACCTCTTCAAGGGCTCTGTCTTGCCTTTTTCTCTGGATTTGGTCTAAACAGACTGTCCAAATTATATTTTTTAAAATTGAAAATTAATTTCCTCCACATTGTAATAAATTTGTGTGCTTGACTAACAAAGCGGTCTCACTTGCTGCAGTTTATCACAGAATAAAATAACAGACGTGGGTGCAGAGAACCTTGCTACAGCTCTCCCTTCCTTGTCTTCCTTAAAAACACTAAGGTGAGTAGTTGTATCCTGTTGAGTTGTTTTGAAAACATACCTTGCTGTCTCTGTCAGAAACTACTGAACAGGGAAAAAAAGAGCTAACACTGTGCAGCAGCCAAGCTTTTCACTTCATTCTTGCATAAAGGCTTCAGAAAGAAGAGGAGAAGTATGACAGACATACAGAAGGATATCTGGGAATATAGCAAGGACTGGACTGATGTTTAGATCCAGTCCATAATACCCATTCATGAATTGCACAGATGTGCACCCAGGGCCTACATCTGCTGCAAACCCCAAGCTGTCTGTGTTTGCTGATACAGGGACAATGATCCATCCCACTGCACTGGCACCGGTCTGAGTGAAGCAGGGAATGCAAGAAACCCTGGTGTGCATTTCTGGAGTAGTTTGGTGATGTGGAAATTCTTTGAATGCTGTACCCCAAATCTTTGAGCTTCATTTTTTGGCAGATTTAAAATTTGATCTGTGTAGACAGAAATGTTCTTATTATCCATAGAACAGAATCTAGACCATTTTTTGCTGTACCTGTGCTAGGTGAAGAAGGATGTGGGCATTTACCTTACTTGATACAGGAAAAATGAATGTGTGTTTTAAACTTTAATTGCAAATAAGGATAAAATGAAAGTTAATATGTACTTGCCATATTTGAAAACCCTTCATCTAATATCTGTGTACATTATCCATTATTCAATTGTGACTATTCTGGTTTGGTTTTCTGCAGCTTGTACAATAACAACATTTGTGATTTTGGAGCAGAAAATCTGGCAAAGGTTCTTCCTGCAATGACATCTTTAAGAGTGCTAGAGTGAGTATGAAATCTTTTGAGATGGCCCAGGGAAGCTTACTTCATTGGAGACTGAAAATACAAATGTTCCATGTTTGGTTTTGGAGGAGACAGAAACTGAGGAAGAAGATGCTGGGAAAATTCCACAGGGGAAATGTGTTTCTGCAGAGTCCAGATAGTCAGTGATTAGAAAGGATTAAGGAACTGTTCGCCATAAACCCAGAAATATTTGTGTTAAGGTGGGAGAATAGGCTCACGAGGGAGCTAGAGAGTGACCTCAGGATCATGGTAAAAGGAATCCCTCAGATTAACATAATGAAGTTCCCATTCAACCTTCTGAGTATATTATTACAGGTTTTTTGAATTGACAATCTATTTTGGGTTTTTTTTCCTTTTTCTTCCTTATCCCATCTGCAGATTAACCTATATAGTATTTTTTATTTTGAATGAAATGTTTGATTACATGATTTAATTTGGATTAACAAAGTTGTTTTTATTCCTCAGTGTTCAATATAACAAAATAACTGGTGTTGGAGCCCAGCAGCTGACTGACAGCCTACGAAAATGTCCCCATATGAAGAACTTGGTGTAAGTCTCTTGACAGGCTGTTTGCTGTACCTTCATCCTGTAAAACTGGGTTAGCAATCATGCTAAAGCTGCCTTCTGTATTTGTCAGATTTAAAAGTGGCACAAACAAAGATATCACCAAAACACAAAAGCAGAGATGTTAAAAAATGTTGTCTCTGGTTTCAGCTGACTTAGTTCCCAGTCGTTTGAGGGATAAACAATGAGCGTCCATCACTAGAGATTAAATAGACTGAAGCTACCATACACATTCCAAGGAAGAGAGTTTGATGAAAGGTTAAAAAACTGTTACAGAGACAGGAGTGCAGTTGTGTCCTGTAACCAGAGTCAACAAGATTATGGAGTACTGAACTGCTTTTTTCTAAATCAAAACACATTTTCCTTTGCTCCATAGCGTATATGCTTTCATAGCATGATAGTAAAGGGAAGAACAACTTAAAAAAAAAAGAAGAAAACAACATCAACAACAACCAAAAAAGCCACAAACACGCCAAAAAAAGGTGAAGCAAATTACACTTCTTAAAATCTCTTTCCCTTCTGAATTTGCCCTTACAGGATGTGGAATCCTACAATTCCCTATGGAGTTCTTGAACACCTTCACCAGCTGGACTCCAGGATCAGTGTGTAGATTCAGAGGATTCCATAAAGGTAACAAACCTTGGCTGCCTGAGACAACCAGGTTTGTTTCTGTGGGAGCTGTTGATTCCAGGCTCACTGGCAGCAGGAACAGTAACAGCAGCCATGTGTTTGGAGATGGTGCCCTAGAGTGGCACAGATCAATGTCACATCAGGGCCCCTTTCACTGCCCTCACCTTGCACCCCCCACCTCTCTGGCACCTGCACTAGCAGACTGCAAGTGCTTTATAAAGAAAAATGGACCTCTAGAACTCCTAGTCCAGCCCAGTTCAGTGACTGGCAGCTGCCCTGCTTACCTTCTTTTTTCTGTTGTAGAAAACTAAAGCGCTGTGTACTTCTCATGTTTAATAGATGAGTTCTGTACTCCTCAGAACTTGTTTTGTGTTGATTTTTAGTAAGTTCTTCCACTTTTCCTTTATTGAATACAAATCCTCAACGGCTGCTTATCTGACTATGCAGTTGTACCCATACTGTACTAAGAGCAAAACACACCTTCCTACATTCCTTGCTCTCAGTGTCATTGTGTGATTTAGCCACTGGCAGCCACTTTTACTTCATTGATCCTGCCTGCACAGTTTCAAGGATCCTTGAAGTAATTGCATTGTGAAAAATTTAATAAGTAAGTTTCTCAATGATTAGCAGGATTTGATGCCTTGATGGTCCTGGACTGAAGGGGCTGCAGCCAGCATGGGAAGTTGAGGAGTTTGTGTAGGATTTATCTTCTCAGTTTTCTGCCATGTGTTCCTCTTGCTCTTAAAAAAAAAAAAAAAGAAATATGCATGTTGCATCAGCTAAATGATCCTAGTGAAGAATGAGATGCCATAGTCAAGTCAGATATCAGATGTGCTCCAGCTTTCTCTAGATGGCCAGGATACAAATTGCAGTGTGCTCACCAGCTGCATGAGCCAGGCTATGAATGGGCCTGGCCAGGGGATGGCTGCAGCTGCCAGCAGCTCCTGGGCCATGCAGTGAGCCAAGCTTGTGCATGACTCCTGCTCTCAGTGCAGTAATCTCCAGATGTAGACTGGCTGTTTGTATAGCTGCAGTTGTGGAAGATTCAGGTGCCACAGCAGCTTCACAGACCAGCATTTTACAGCAGCAGTGAAAAATTGTGGTGCTCCTTACTAGCCTACAGTCACTAAATCTTTATTCTGTTGAACTATCCTAACTTCTTAAGAAAAGAGATACTAGGGATATAATCACTGTGAGGAAACCTGCATTAGCTCTGAGGATAAAAAACACCAGGAACTCTGGAACTCCTGTCTCCCAACCTTGAAACATTCAGTATCCACCAACCACTGTTGTCTGTTTACAGAGCTCATTAAATCTATGATTTTTGTAATTTTAGTGAGGGTTAATCTGATGGGTGTACATCTAATGTTTTGTTTTCATCATTTCACAGGTGTCATAAAGAAAAGGGGAGGGTGTCCTCTGTGCTTTCCTGTCTTCTTGCTGCTTTATGAATCAGTGTTCTCATGTTTGTTGCAAAAAATCACATTTCAGTTTCTAAGCAATGCTTAAATTGGGTGAATTACAGAGTTTTAAAATGCTATTCAAAGACCCAAGTGTATTTCTACTTAAGTAGTAAAAATTAAGCAACATCAAAGATGAAAAGAGCATCTGGATACTTTGACCACCATTAAAGGAGACCAGGAACCACAAGGATATTGTGAGTATAAAAATCCATCATTGAGTCATCAAAGAGGAAACTGAAGGTTGCTCAACCTGCAACATCTGAAGCACTGACAGATCAAATCTGAATGTTTTCTCCATGGTGCCAGTGGTAACTGCCATCAAATTTGCTCGAATGATTTTGGACTTTCAAAGTTCAGTGTTACACATTTCACCTGTCTGTATGGACTCATTGGAAGCACTAGGGTGAGGAGCATAAAAAAGTCATCAGCCCTAGAAAATGTTCTGATAAGATTATCCACAAGCATCTAGAAGTTGATCTTTTCTTCATAATAATCAGTGTATCTAGAAGCTGCTCTTTTCTTCACTAATAATCAGTGCTGCACATCTTCTCTGATTTGTTATAGAATCCTTCAAAAAGATTGGGGAAAAAAAAGTAATGAGAAGAAAGGAATTGAAAGTGAAAAACTGTGAAGTATTCTTCTAACATTATTGCAGAAATCCAAATAGATTAAAATAGCCAGTTCATTGCACAGAAATCCTCAAACAATCTTTGAAGGTTTTTACTTTGTCTCAGATGAGAATTCTAAAGTCATATTCCTGGATTGGTATTTAATTTCTTAAATGCAGCTGGCAGCATAAATGTTTACAAGCACCAGTTTTATACTTGACAGTGATATCACTACTGTGTGTGGTTTATGTGGCCTTCTGGTTCAGAGTTATAAGTAACCAGGCAATCAGACAAAAGCACATTTCAAAGCACATGTCTATGCTGCTGGTCTCAGTCACATGTGAGCCAAATATTCATCCTTCTGACTGCAACAGCAAACCACTTGTCTCTTTTATTCTTTTATTTCTTCTCTATGAACATGAAGAGAACTTAAAATTGTGCAGAGGCAATTGGCAGGTCAAGAGCACCATTCTGGATTCCTATCCAGACACAGTCTGAGACAACAACAAAAAGCAATGGAAAAAGCTAGGAATGCTCAAAATGCTACAAATGGGGAAGTCTTTATTTCACACTTAGCTCGGAGTTAGTTCAACAACCTCTTTGAAATCTCTTCTGCTTGGAAGCACTGACAATACTGATCCAAGTGCAAACTAGAATCTCTCAAATACTGTTTCTCGATCTTTAAAAATTCCCAGATTTAAACAGTTCAAAATCACAACAGTCATATTCTTTCCAGCAAGTTCTACTCCTCTCTTAAGTTTCAGTGCCTGCAAAATCTTGACAGCGGGGATGTGGACAAATTAAAGAGAGTGGACAAATTAAAGAAAGGAGGGAAAAAGGAAGGTCTGTTTGTTGTTTCTGAGAGTAGGGAAGCAGACATGTAAAGGAACAGAGAGCAAGGAGCAAAAACTCTGTGGAGAATATGATTGTAATTAGAATTGGTATTTTTCCTAATTACTTGCATGGTTCTTATCTGTAGCCAAACTCTAGCCAGAGCCATGCATAAAAATATTATTTATCCTCTCCTCTTGGAGCTGCTTGAATGGGAGGTAGTTTGAGCCAAATCTGGTGTGATATTCCTGTTGGCCTGCAGCACTCCCCCCATGCACATCCGTGGTGAGCCCTTGTCTTGACCTCTCCTAAGCTTTGGATGACAAATGCCCCTTTAGGGATATATTCTGCAGCTGCACTTTACCATGACTGAGTCTGAAAATGTGCTAAATATTCCACAGGCAGCTGAATGTTAGAGGATGCTGTCTGGACTACTAAAATCATGTTGGGTGTACTGCTGTTCTCTGAGTTAGTAGGAATGTATGTTTATAATGTACAGATTGTAAATTTTGATACAGTGTTTTGGTTGTCTCTACACATCTTTTTTAAAGTATTAATAAAAGTAAGTATTCTGTTTAACAGTACCTTCTAGTACCTGTTGAAAATTATTTTGATTTTTCTCTTGGGAATACTGAAACCACACTGCTGGCTTCTGCCACAGTAACAGGTTTGGGGCTTTGTTTTGCAGGTTAGTGGAAAGAGCTGTGTGTGAGTGAGATAGGATGGGCCTGCTGGCAATGAACAGTTCAGTGAGCTGGAAATGGAGAAATAATTCTTTCTTAACAGGAACAAGTTCTTGCAATGCCAACTGACAGACTGTAAGTTCAGGATCAGGATATACAAATGCGCTGACTATGACCACCTGCTAAAAAAAGCAAAAAGGGCTTTTCATCCTTTCTCAATCTTTGGAGTTAAAAGTTCTAAAATAAATCCAGGTGTAAAGTCTAGATATTCTTATGGCACCAAGCTCCTCCAAAATGTTTTTGTCAAATGAGTGCCTTGTGTATAGAAACTGAAGTCACTGGGTACCTTCTAAGAAACTGTTGGATCAAATCTCTGTTCTAAAAAAATCTTTTAGGGTGAGGAAAATGCTGCTCTCTTTATGTCCATCTCTTTTTGTTGTCAAAGAAGCCTTGCTACAATGCCAAGGATTGTGTTACCATGGTTGTCAGAGCCTGTAACACTCTCCCCATCCTTTAAATGCATGAAGCTGAGCTGTTCTAAGAAATCGGAAATCTTGGTCTAAGATTCAGAATCTCCAAAGTGACAGACTCAGGGAAATTTATGTTGTTTTATTGTGCACTGTGTGGCACAAACCCACTGCAGAGAATGTATTACAAACTCCTAGGTACTGCAGTAAGTAACAATAGTGACAAACTGAACCATGTTCTTAAAAAGGCATATGTGGGACTCTGAAAAACTAGTGAAGCCATCTCTGTGAACACTATGAATTAATAATTATAGGGGCAGCAGGAATGCCCCCTGCAGTAGCAAAATTCAGCCTTTACTGAGTTATTACCAAATGGGCACATGAACACATGCTTGACAAGTTTGTAAACTTGGTTATTCTTTCTATAGGCACCTAAATGGGGACTTGTCTTCCATAAATGTATCTTTATGTGTGTTAGAATATTGTGCCCTAAGTGACTTCATTTCTGAATTATTGTCCAGGGATTGTGTGGAACAAAACACTTGTCAGTGTTAAAAGGTCCTGAACTGCACCTGATGAAACCTATCTTGGAGAAATGCTGCTTGGTTCAATGTCAGTTCTTCCCCTCTTGCAGAAGCAGCTGAAAATTGCACATGGAGCACAGAATTTTGGGAACTGGGAGCTAATTTCTACTGCCTAGGAGCTAAAATGTGCTATTTGAATGCAACACAGTGGGAGTATCAGGATACACAAGTTTGTCATTGTTCCATGGGGGATCTAAGCCATCACCCTCTTGTTCCCTCATACTGGCTAAAAAGAGACTCCTGACACCATCTGTCTGCAGTGGGGAGCCCACACTGGAGCAGATGGCCAACACAGACTGCAGAGGCCAGACATCATGCAGAGAGTGTCAGCATAATTGTTTACAATTCTGCTTTATCCAAAATGTTCTTGATACATTAACTCGATTTAAAAATTGCACAGTTACATAAATCAGACTTTTTTAAAAAGTATAATGACAATTAAAAAAACCCAGTCTAATGTCTGCCCTAATAACATGTGAGTTACTCCCCCCTCTCTCCATCAGTGCCTGATGTTTCACTTCAGATCTGATTTTTTAAGTAGCTGTTCATGAGAAGGATTTCCTACCTGCTGGACATCTCAGCAATCTGGAACTACTTGCAGGTACCTGCAGGAAATTCCTTGAAAGTATATTTCAGCTATTTTCTTTTCAAACTGAAAAAGAACAACTCCAACACAACTGCTTAATTTTTCATGGAAAAGATCAGTCTTTATTGTATTGCTTTCACATCTGTACATATAGGAATGTGAGCTTAAACAATCTGCAAAGTTTCCTGTGTTAAATAATGATTCCACCTGACTTATATAAAATTCACTCTCTGATCTATTTCAAAACTCTCATTTTAAATAAAATATCTTACTAGCACAGTTCTTGCCATTATACTCCCTGAACAGAACCTCCTTCAGTCACTCCTGCATATTTTCCCCTGAGAAAGCACTGCTTTTAAACTACTGGCTGGTAGAATTTTCAACATGTGATTGTAAAACTGGCTTAAGCTATATGTAGAGTGTGTCCATTTGGGTGACATGGTATTCATTCAAAAGTTTATCAAATCTGGGTAACATCTTGATTTTTCTGTTACAATGGAACATAGTTTATCTTATTTTTTCATATAGTCCATCCCAGAATTACCTATGGAAGCCCAGCATGGTGCATGAATCACTGCAGTAAGTGCACACACAAGAGGCAAAGACCATGAAGAGAAGTCACAACTGACAAGGTCTGATGACAACTCTTCTTGTTCTCTTGTCCTTATTTTCATCTCTACATTTCAGAGTACAGTTTCTTCCCTGGACTTGATCCATTAGCCTGGTCAAAATCCATTTCAGGTGTTTAATGAATCTGTTTAAAAGAAAACACAAACACAGAGTAACCCTCCATGCCTAAAATTAACAGAAAAGTCACTGAGTATGTGACATACAGAACCATGTTGTTGACTTATTAGAAAAAAATTTAAAAATCAAACCCTTTTGTGCCTATGGGTAATAATTCTTTGATAAGTAAAGACCTGCACATATCAGAAAAATCAATGTCACAGTTTCTGTTAATGTCAGAGCACACCAGTCCTTAGGAATTTTAACAGAGCCATGAAGATACCAGTGTGAGGGGTGTGACAGTAAGCTGTGAACCACAGTGCATCACATTAATTACTAGGAAATGTTCTTAAGAGTAAAAACAACTGTGACATACAGTGGGATAACCTATTTTACCCAGATTTGATACCATTAGACCTATTAATTAAAACTGATGTTTGAACTGGGTACATT